AAGAAAGAAAGAAAGAAAGAAAGAAAGAAAGAAAGAAAGAAAGAAAGGATGGAGGAAGGGAGGGAGGGAGGAGATAAGAAGAGTGGGGAAGGAAGGGAGGGACAGATGAAAGGATGGAAGGAAAGAAGGAAGGAAGAGAGAAAGAAAAAGAAAGAAGATAGGAAGAGGGGGAAAGGGGCGGAGGGAGAGAAGGAAGGGAGGGGAGAGGGATGAAGGAATCGCCTTATAATTTCAAACTACACTAGGGTGCAGAAGCCCCTCCTCGTCCCAACGACATGCGCGTGCAAAAGTGCCCAGCCGTGCAAAAGCATAAAAAAAATAAAATTGAAAAAAAGCCCGCTCCCCACCAGGCCCATTGTACTTGCTGTTCCCCCCCAAGAATACGACAGCCGTGTCCCCAAGCTAAGCGGGGCCTCCACTCACCCTCCTTGTGTACAGGGGAGCCGTGGTGCAGCGCTCCAGCCCACGACCATCGCTGCTGCCGGATTTCAGCCCAGGTTTTCTTCACGGAGCGCTGGATGGCGGCTTCGTAGAGCTCCTGATCAAAATGCAGGAGGGGGGGGGAGGTTTAGTTTTCTGTTTTTGTGTGCCAATCATGCAACTTGGGGGGGTGTTTGCATAAACAATGAAGCTGAGCAGTTTGGTTGGAGAGAAAAAAAATGATAAAAATACTTTTTTTTTTTTTTTTTTTACAAAACTGGAAATCCTTACAGGTCGTCCTTGACTTACAACCAACATTGGGACTACCATAGAACTTGGTCCCTAAATAGGGTGCTTGTTAAGTGAGTCTTGCCCGAATTTACTTTTTATCTTTTGCTGTATTTGTTAAATGAATGCAGCTTCCTCACTGACTTGGCTTGTTGGAAACCGGCTGGGAAGAGCAATCACATGACCGCAAGAGGCTGCAACCGTCATAAATACATACAGGTTGCCAAGTGTCTGAATTCTGATCCCGTGACCCTATGGATGCTTGCAAGAGGTGTAAGCGTGATGACCAGTTTTAAGTCACTTTTTTCAGCTCAGGTCAAGGACTACCTGTATACGGACTTTCTGCTTGAAAGAAGCAAAAATGAATTTATTATGGCATTTGGATATTAAAAATGAGACTAAGGAATTGGAGCAAAGTTTAATATGACAACTGCTCAGCAGAAAGAAGGACAGAAGCTACAACTGCATGACGGGGCTTTTCACCCCAATTTTTTTTCTTGTTCCTCCATCGCTTATTTTCTTTATTCTTGATTGTTTTGTGTACAACTAGTCCTTGATTTACAGCCGTTCGTTTAGTGACCATTCAAAGTTACAACTGCACTGAAAAAAGCAACGTGACTTTTTCACTTTTCATATGTTCCTCATACTTATGACCATTATAGTATCCCCATCAGAGGTGGTATTCAGCAGGTTCTGACCAGGTTCTGGAGAACCGGTAGTGGAAATTTTGAGAAGTTCAGAGAACCGGCCAATACTACCTCTGTCTGGCCCCGCCCCCATCTCTTCTCTGCCTCCCATTAGTCCCAGCTGATTGGCTGAGTCTTCTTTGGTTGCCCTGCACAGGAGAACGGAGCTGGAAAGCAGGTTAGTGGGACGAGGAGGGAATGGGGGATTTTGCAGTATCCTTCCCCTGCCACACCCATTAAGCCGTGCCACCAAGCCACGCCCACAGGACGGGTAGTAAAAAAATTTGAATCCCATTACTGATCCCCATGATCACATGACCAAATCATGGGATCACCCAATGCAACCTGCTGACAGGCAGGTCAAGGCGGAAGCCGAATTTACAACCGTTGTCACAGATAGTCCTCGACTTACATCCACAACGGAGCCCCAAATAAGTGAGCTTTGCCCCATTTTATGACTTTTCTTGCCACCGTTATTAAGTGAATCATTGCAGTTGACAAGTCAGTAACCCAGCTGTTGAGTGAATCCCCATGGACTTCGCTCGTCAGAAGGTCACCAAAGGGGATCCTATGACCTTGGAAGCACACAGCGACGGTCATAAATTTGAGCCAGTTGCCAAGGCATCTGGATTTTGATCCTGTGGTCATGGGGGGGGATGCTGCAAAGGTCGTAACTGTGAAAAACGTCCGTAAGTGACATTTCCCAGAGGGGTGGTAACCTTGAACAGTACTAAACGAATTATTGTAAGTCAAGGACTAGCTATATTAACAACTGCAGTGATTCGCTCAACAAGAAAAGTCATAAAATGGGGAAAATCAACCATCTTGCTTAGCCACAGAAATGTTGGACTTAGTTGTGGCTCTAAATCAAGGCCCGCTGGTATTTTTTTTTCCTTTAAACCAGGGGTCCCCAAAGTCGGCAACTTTAAGATTTGTGGACTTCAAGTCCCAGAATTCTCCAGCCA